AAATAGTACCAAACCAATTTAAAAAATCTGTAAGTAGAAGTGAATTGTTCAACTGTCTGCTATGACATTAGAATGATTTCTAAAGGATGCAGTGAAAAAATATTTTCATAGTGGACAGAAGCGACAGCAAAATAGGGCTTTTGAACTGTGAAACATTATTCAATGTAATATAATATGCATGAATGACATTTTGAATGTATTTGTGATTTGGATGATAGATAGATAGATAGATAGATAGATAGATAGATAGATAGATAGATAGATAGATAGATAGATAGATAGATAGATAGATAGACTTTTCTTCTCTCACTCTTTCGAAATGTAGTTTGTTTTTCTTTATTTTAAGTTCTTCACTAATTTCCTCAATTTCTAGGAAACAAACGAATGACACAGGCATTTATTAGCTCCAGGTGGCAGATGAATTAATATTCACTTCGGTTAACTGCATGTGTGATGCACAGTTTGTGTGGAAATAGATTTAACAATGAGAAAAATGCCTGCCAGTTCTGATTAGTTCTGCTGATCATGAGGTGACAATTCTTTGTCATTATCACCAAGGAGAGGGTTACAACCTGCTGAAAATATGAATTGTGACACAAAGAAGAGTGTTCATTATTTCAGTTTTTTAAAAGCAAATAGACTCCTCGTCTAAAATGGTAAAATATAAAGTAATGATGCAATATGAGGCATCATACATGCAATTCATTTAGCAGTGCATTAGTTCTTAGTTGTCTTTTTGATGTTAAGCATTTACACATTTTTTTATTATATTTTAAAAAAAAATAATTACAGCTTTATTGTTCCTGCAGCATTCAGAGTTTATCTTGAGGCATTTCTTGAATTTCTTTTTCTTTTTCATTTTTTGGTGGGCCTTTCAATAATTCTGTATTTTTTTGTCAGTTCAAAGGAACAATTATTACTGTACATCATCTGACAGCTGCTACTCAAGACCCAAGGTTGTTAATTTGCAAGAACCAAAGTGGCTCTTTGTATCAAAAGCCGTCCTCCCTCTTACAGCACCTGCCTGCAATTTATACACAAAACTAAGTATAGAGGGAAAATCATGGCAGGAAGGTCATTTGTGTGAGTGGGTAGGAGGTGACCCTCTCGTGGATGATGACTACATGGTGGGGGCAAATATTATCCCATTGGGAGTGTGGTCTGGAGTTCTATGTCGTGTTTCAGGTGGTAGGAATGAAAGGTCATGCAATGTACTGAAGAATTCCAGAAGGATTGATGTGTCATATGGGCTTGTGATATGGCGATGACGGATCCCCCACTGACTTATGTATGTGTTGTTCCACGTGTTACATGTGTTATTTTTGAAAACATATCATTATTTTTCTATACCATGGATAACTTCTTTCACCTTTCACTGTCTTGTTGTGTGGTTCATCCTAATTGATGCTCTGAAGTCTGTAGAAGTACATCTATTTTTATTTTATTTTTTATGCAGTCACCCATACTGTAGATGGAGGACGTTGGAGGTCTAAATGGAGGACAGGTTTACAGAACATTTCCCTGTCTGCACAACAAAAAATCTTGTGGCTTATGTGGTATTTTGCAGTTACTGTATGTGGTGTGATCTCTTGGGTCGCAACTAGGGTTGAGAACCAAGAAACTAAAGATTTAGAGCCAGCTGCATTAAAGTTTTCATCATCCGGGTACATTTACTGTTCTCACTTATGTTAAATCTACCGCACATAATTTACAGTGCTACTGTTGTCTGGCTTACTTATTCGGAAACAGATAAAGTTAGTCACCGGCATCAGTTGCAAATATTATAAAAAATAATCTTTGTGAGGACGACTGGCAACAGCTGGTCTTAAATTCTTTAGACACCACACACTAAACGACTTTAAACACCGACTGAAAACACTAACTCAAATTACATTCATAATCGGCCTGACAGTAGCATGTTAGCGCTACTCTTGTCTGATCCCTGAACGATAGTCTTTTTTTTTTAGTCAACTGCAACATTTTAGTGAATCTGCAGCATAGACCAACAGCGTGACACTTGTAGTCCAATTACTCAAAGACTGTAGAATACCCAAGACGTGTCACTCTTATAGTTTTGAATGGGGGAAAATGCACCGCTCAATATAGCCGCTCTATCGAAGGAAGCCACGCCTTCTGAGTAAAAGAGCCAATCGCTAATCAGGAAAATGTCATCGCCTCACAGCAGCTGCCATTAGAAGTCCCGGTTGCTATTGAAACAATCAGCATTCTGAGACGTGCGCTTGGGACTGCACTTGTGCTCTGGCTGGTCTAGCCTGAAAAATACGGTTTTTTGACGCTATTTGAGCAAAAGAAATAATATTTATACAAAACCCTGCGTAAATAACCTTTTGTTTTAAATTAATTTATTATCAATTGCAGCTTATTTGGCGATTGCATTTTTCTGAAAAATAATTGAATAAATAATCCTTAATAAAAGAATCACTAATGGAACAGTTAAAACACTGGAATCATTCAATTTTTTTATGATTCCCCGCCCTTCTCAGACTAAATGATAATTGCAGTGTAATGTACCCATAAAAAAGCAAGATTCCTGATATGTCAGTTGATATGAGTGTGTGCATCAATCATACCACAAGACTTGATTCTCCAGTGGCTGTCAGTAGTTTCAGCAGGATGGCACCTCTTAGCCCCTGCTGTGTTCACTTCACAAGAGCTTCAGAGGATATATACAGGAGTTTAGTGAGTCACATCAGCTCTCTACGCTCATGGGAAGCAAGCTCAAAGGAGAATTTGCTGCAGGGAGACACCATATATTATCTTCATTGTTATTCAATGACAGAGTACTGCTCTATTAATAGACTTGCAGACTTGATCATCAGATTAAATCTCTTTGACTGCAGCTGTGACTCATATTTTCCAGGGAAAGAGTTTTTTATTATTATTATTATTATTTCTATATGTTCATATATCCACGGAGAACTAATAATTGCATTGACAGGCAAACACTATCCATTGCAGATTCTCACTGCAATGAAATCAATAATCAAAAAACTTGGAATTGACAAACTGAAAATTTACTCACACTCAGGCCATCCAAGATATAGACGAGTTTGTTTGTTCGTCTTAACATATTTGAAGATAATAATCATTACATCGCTTGCTCACCAATGGCTCCTCTGTGAATGTGTGCCATCAGAATAAGAGTCCAAACAGCTGATAAAATCATCACAATAATCCACCAGTTATCAACTCGACTTCAGTCCATCAACGTACTGTGAAGTGAAAAGCCACATGCTTGTAATATAAATGTTACCATATGATGTTCCCATGATTTCTGCTAACTGCAGCAGCCTTTAATGGTTAAATAACATAATTTTCTTTAAATAGTGTACCATTTATATCTATCTTTTTTGGCTATTGTTATTGAATATTTTGGTCTCCAATTGTACATGATCTTATACTGAAGAACAAGGTGAGGTTTTTAAATTTGTTCTTAAAAAATCCTGCTGTTGGAATACACTGTTTACCTACAGTTCATGGTTGAGAAAACATGAATAGTTTTCAGTGACTTAATTGAAAGCGGCAAATAGAGGTGGGCATATCGGCACTAATGGATTTGGAACACCACTTAAATTACTGGACTAAAGATTTCTGCTTCCAATAGTGTTAATAATAGTCTTTGATGAATACCTTTTAGAAGTGGCATAATGATGGAGAAGTTTGTATGTGAGTGTGTGAAGAGAGTTCTTTGTACACGTTACAATAAATGTTGTATGTGCTTTACTGAATTCAGTTGTCTACTGTAGACTAAACAATATATTGTTCTTCAAATTAACATTCAAATGGCCAATAATTTCATAAATATGCATTTATTTCCATCACAGGATTAAATTTATGGGCTGCTGTCAGGGATGGCCAGATCAATCTTGATAAATAGCTACATTTGATACTAACATTGTCTGTATAGTAAACAGTAATATTGTGAAATATTATTACAATATAAAATAACTCTTTTCTATTTGAATATACATATTTTAAAATGTAATTTATTCCTGTGATGATAAAGCTGAATTTTCAGCAGTCATTACTCCAGACTTAAATATCACATGATCTTTTAGAAATCACTCTGAAATACTGATTTGGTGCTCATGAAACATTTCTTATTATTATTATTATTATCAGTGTTGTGCCAATTAATATTTTTATTGAAACGGTGATACATTTTTTCAGGATTCTTTGAGGCATAGAAAGTTTAAAGAACAGCATTTATTTGATATAGATATTTTTTTGTAACATTTTAAAAGTCTTTACTTTTACTTTTGATCAATTTAAAGCATCCTAGCTGAAAAGCGTATTAAAAGTAGTGTGTAGTATATAGTCAATTTTGATTTCATGCTACTTTTAAAATCTTTCATGGTACAACAGATCAGCATAAAAGCTGACTAATATGCAGAACACAGCAGTTTCTGGCTGTCTTTGAAACGATCATCCTGCTCTTAATTCTTCTCTTGCTATCTATTTTTCATCCCTGCGGTATGACAGTAATTTTTTCTTCCTTTGATCTCCCACCTCTTCTTTGGTTTTTATTGTTTTGTGTATCTTTATTGGTTTTAGCCTCTATGGTGAACTCCTTAGTGAGTGTTTGTGTTTCCACAAAATCTTTTAGGATAATTTTCTTTTGAATTATTTTGTTACCTGTTTTCTTTGGTGTTTTCAACGACTTTATCAGTATAGGTATCACTATTGAATTTTATTGGCCTTAATTGGTGTCGGACACGTGATATACAGTCTTCCATATCTGTCTTAGGAAAAATATGCATTTGCTTTTCTCACCATCAGCTCTCAATATGGCTGATCCTTCCAAGGACTGTAAACATATTTCAGATGCTATTATGGACAGAGACAGCTAGATCCACATCATTGAAAGAAACACACACGGAGTCTATTATCACAGCAAGCACTCCTGTTCACCTCTGTAACAATGTGTCTGTGAAATGCAAATCACAATTATTTAGTTGGCTTGATGGACAATGTCATTTTTGTCTGGATCCATCCCCATTTAGGCAGAATAGACATCAATTCATTATAGGCAATCTAGCCAATTCTAAACTAATAAAATTATCTCAAGTTTATAGAGAAGCTTTTCATTCAGCCTGTCTAATACGGTCATCCGAACAACGCCTTTATCCAAACAATGATGTCTAATGTAATTTCAGTGTCTGCGGTGCATGAGCTAATCCTTAAAGGTCATTAAGTGATCCCTAGTTTTTAAAGCCGTTTTCCTTTCAAAGTCAATCCAAAAATGCAGTGAGTTGTCATTTTCAAGTTGAATCATAGTGAGAGGTTTTTGTATGGCTGTTTTCATCTTAGAGTGCATTTAAATAGTATTGAGCTGAACTAAAAGGACAGTTTTGATAATGTCCTTAACCAAAATGAAATATGAAGGTTTTCAAATTAACTTTTAAATAATAAAGAACCTCTGTATATTTCAACTTGCTGAATGTCAGCATGGCTGCCTGATTTAGACAGTATTTTTCAATTGGATATGTCACTGAATTATGATTATTGTTAAATAAAACTAGAACCATAAAAAAAATACTTAAAACAAAATAAAAAATATTACAAAAAAAACTGAAACATTTTAGCCAGAGCAACATTTCTTATTTTCATTTAGTTTAATTTGAAGTACTAAAAAAACTAAAGCAAAAGTAAGCTAAAGCTAATAAATAAAAATTAATAAAAAACGAAATAGACAAATAAAAACGAATCAGACTGACAACAACAAAACTACTAAAACTAGTGAAAACAGAAAATATAAAAATAAAATATATTTGTATATATATATATATATATATATATATATATATATATATTCTGCCTAAATGGGGATGGATCCAGACAAAAACCTTTATATATCTCTATATATATATATATAATCAATTATATAAGATGACACTGTTATAAATAAACAAGACATCAGTCACACATGTACACTTTTTTTGTTCTGTCCACACAATTCTATAGACAAATGTCTTTTTGTCAACGCATCTCAAATGTTAGTGGAAAGCTAAATCAGTCATTCTTGAGACATGGGACAAAACAGGTCCAGCATGCTATTAGGTTTATAAATGAAAATATTTTCCATTTTAAATGTCACGAGGGATTAATAATATAATTTATTTAACACAATTATCACCTTCAATTTAATTATAAAATATTATTGTACCAAATCTATGTTTCTTAATGTCCTCTCACTACATCTAAAACAGTGTGTCCACAGAGAAGGGTTCAATCATTCATATGCAATCAAATGGATAAAAATGTTTTTTTTTTTAATGATGAAAAAGAGCTTGTTTTATCAAAAGCAACACTTAATAATATCTCCTATAAAAGCAAAGTTGTTTTTTAATGACACATGCATGTTTAATACGATTTTAAAGTTGCGTCCCCACTTTTTGTCAACACCGTCAGACATTCAATAAAATGTAATAAAATCAGGGAATATCAGGGGCTGCTGTCACTCTAAAGGACCCCCTTGCCACAGTTCACCTCTGCAGAGTACATCAGTGTCAGACAGGCTCTGCTAAGTTTTAGTTTTAGAATATTTTAAATCCTAATGTTAATATTTCCTGTGTCAACACCATCTTCCAATTTCTGAGGAAATTATTTGAAATATTTAGATATTTTTATTCTCCTGAAGCAGGTATCATTAGCATCTTGCATCAGCAGAAAAAAATAAAATGGCTACTACATGAACTCCATTGGTTTTGTGAAAGAAATTCCAAATTTGTCAACACCGTCAGATGTCACCACCATAAGATTTTGTGTTCCAATGATATATCAAAATACTTAAATGTGACTCTTGAATAAAAGCTTTATAAACAATACTCACTGTTTGTTGTGTTTGTTTTAATACAGTAATTGACTGATTCAATGTATGTGATAGTTAAAATGACTACAAATTCAGGTTTTCCTCACCTCCATCAGTTCTGTCACCTCCGTCAGATGGGTCAACTCCGTCAGTTCTGTCACCTCCGTCAGTTGAATATTTTGATAATATTTCATTATGATATTTTATATTTATTGTGGAATTATTGGTCACATGTGAAAGTGTCTGCTAACACAAGAATGTGTTTTGAAATGTTAAAAACATCTTGAATGCTGTTAAAGATAAAGCTGAAATTATATTACACAGTCCAAGCTAAAAAAAGCACATTTTGTTAAAAAAGAGAAAAGTTGGGAGGTTGTATCAAAGCATAGCTCAGTAGCTTAGTATATATAAGATACATAAATGTTATAAATGTAGTTTCATTTGTCTGAGTACAAGGTTTTATTTTTTCAATTTTGCACCCTGTTTTGTCCCACTTCTCAAGAATGACTGTAATACAGAAAAATGTAGTCTGAATATTAAAGTAACTAGATAAGTTCTCTGTTCTATCTAGTGGCGATACTTATATGGCGAAAGTAACAGGTTCTTGTAGAATACTCGCATCTAGTGGTTGTAGATGTTATTGCATCACAAAATTGACTGCAGCGGACAAACGTGCAACACGACTGAAACACAGCTGAGAAATATAAGTATTTACCGGCTAACTTTAAAAACTTTAGTCTTAAAGGGATAGTTCACCTTTGGTTGCTGGTCCCCGGTCCCCATTGACTTCCATAGTAAGGAAAGAAAAAAAAACACTATGCAAGTCAATAGGGCCTTTCGTACCGCAGGAACCTTTTCATAGTACCAGAACTAATTGTGGAACTACCCTCTTTTCGGCGTGTTCGCGCACCGCCGGAACTGGGTGCGATTTTAGTACCGGACTGCCTTTTTCGAGAACCAAATTAGCTCCTACTCCGGAGCAGGGTCTAACCAGCACAACTGGTACTAATCGTGACGTAAGTAGACATTGATTGGCCAAACGATTACGAAAGCGCCCTCACCCGCCATGATTTAAAACTCTGTGTAAACGTAATGTAAACATTGTCAACTTATTTCGCAAGTATGGAGAACCGCGATAGATGGACGGACGCTGAAGTGCAGGCACTTGTAGCAAATGTAGCACTGCCAGTTGTCGTTGGAGATTCTTAGTCCTCCTTTCCGTTCTTTCAATCGTTTTTTGTATACGTCAACATTCCATGTCCATTATTGTGAAACCCACGAGACACATCAAAAACACAGCCCCGATCACAGCGTCCTCCATCCTCCTGTTGTTAACGTAGTTCTTTGTTTCTGTTGTTGAACGCCACGCACAAATGACCACAAATGACGTCGCTGTCGACCGGCTTACGTCACTTCTTAGTACACACTGTCGGTGCGAATGCAACCCTTTAAATAGTACTGGGAAATAGTTCGCACAAAATCGTCCCAGTACTTTAGTACCGTACATTTAGTTCTGGAACTAAAGCAGTGAGAAAGGGCCTAATGGGGACCAGCAACTGAATGTGAACTATCCCTTTAACACAGTGGTTTTCAACCCGCGGCCCATCACGAATTCAAATGCGGCCCGCTGAACACAATTAAAAAAATAACTTTCAGTTTTACAATTCATTTTAGTTTTTACATTAATGTAAAAATGTACAAAACAAATATAAGCTATAATGTTTTTGTTATGTAAATTAATTTTGATTTTCATATATTATTTTCAAACATGAGCAGACCTGTAGCCTACTGTAATTAACGTTAGGCATTTAACCAACACAAGCGCGCACTTTGGCAGAATTAAATTCAAATAGTCAGCAGCAGCCATTAGTTCAGTAAAATTGAGCATCAGAATGGACACATATGTTATTAAGGGAGAAAAACGAAATGTGGAAAATGCCAGCAAAGGAACACATACAAACAAGAGTAGTCGCAGCAGTGAAGGTAGGAGAGTGCTGTACTTTCAGCATCAACTTTCGGTTTGTCCCGCCACTCACTTGATGATGTTTACAATGCAGCATTGGATGATGCAGCAATCATCCTTAATTGCAGAAATGTGGCAAAACATCTCTGGAGAGATTTATTAAATTCCTCAGATTATTAAATTCGAAAGTGCTTTCCGTATTTGGATCAACATAGGATCAACATTTGTGAACGCACATTTTCTGCAATGTCGCGCCTAAAGTCACGCTTGAGTCAAGCAACTTACAATCGCAACTTCATTGTGCTGTTACTCCTTTCGAGCCGAATTTCACAAAATTGGTCAGCTCCCGACAGCATCAGGTGTTTTATTAATGGGGAGTATAATTATTTATTTATTTATATATTTCAATGAATGTAACGATTAGATATCATAATATTTAGGCTATAATAGTTGTACTGTCTTTTTACGCGTTGCATTGCATCGTGCCGCGTAAACATAAAACCCTGTCTGCATTTGTGATCAGAGAAATGACAAACAACAAGTGCTACTCCACACTGCCCAAAACTCGCGTTTGAATCATCAGTGGCAAATGATAAAAGAAAACGTACTTACGTGAGTCAGAACTGCCGGCATTTTAGTCTAATGTTACTCTCCCAGGATCAGTAAACAGTCCTCCATAAAATGTGCCAGCGATCCACGGCACTAAGTTGATGTATTTCCTCAGCGACCAGCACAGATCAGCTCTAGGCATGACGAAGCAGATATCGTCCTCTTTTGGAAGGCCAAACAAAGTAGTTTCGCTTTCACAACGAAGCACACAGCGTCTTCAGGACATGGCGGCAGCGGCAACAATACTACAGCGAGAATAAAAGTTACGCCTTCTTTCTTTGCGTGAACATTTTGGCGGCGTTATGCAAATTTTCCCACATAGTGAGGTAGATATGTGGGGGCGTGTTTGAACGAGCCGTTTTAGGGGGGTGTGGCTGACTCTGAACTTTTATAAAGAATATCTCTTTGGATTTGAGACTTTAGTCTTTGCAACTTTACAGATCTTCTTTATGCACCAAGAGCTCGTAACACTCCAAAGAGAAAGGAAAAAATGAAATTGCATCATATGACCCCTTTCAATTCGAAAGTGCTTTCCATATTTGGATCAACATAGGCTACATTTGTGAACGCACATTTTCTGCAATGTCGCGCGTCAAGTCACCTTTCCGTGCGCGTCTTACAGACTGCAACTTACAATCGCAACTTGATTGTGCTGTTACTCCTTTCGAGCCGAATTTCACAAAATTGGTCAGCTCCCGACAGCATCAGGTGTTTTACTAATGGGGAGTACAATTATTTATTTATTTCAATGAATGTAATAGATTAGATATCATAATATTTAGACTATAATAGGCTATTATAAATCTAGTTGGTTTGTATTGGTGACATAATATGTAAATGATATGCGTGCGGCCCATGAGACTTGCACTTGGACCATAGTGCGGCTCAGTGGAAAAAAAAGGTTGAGAACCACTGCTTTAACATGCTGTATATCTACATGAAATTTCGCATTTCAGCCATCTAGTTGAAAGCCACTATGAAATTTTAGACCACTGTGTTTGCCATTCTAAAAACAAAGTCAGGCATCTCAGTCAGGCAGCAAAAGTTATTGTTCTACAGGTAAGACATTTTATAATCTGTTGAACATGTATATTTAGTAAAGCATGTCGTGGCAAACACAGTCTTTGGAATTAGCTAACCAATAAAAACACATTAACGTAATTTAGGAAGAGATTCTGAAATCATAACAGGGTTGCCAGAGTTCACTGGATGTAGCTTATTTCAGACTCAGTGTATTACTGTGATTTGTTGATGAGTAGGGCTGCACAATTAATCGAATTTCTAATCGCGATTACAATTATGGATGCCTTAATTACGTAATTGTTCAAAGCAGCAGTTAATCGTTCAAAGCCCACTTACATGTCATGCATGCTTAAGATGTGTGGGGTTTTCTTTCTTTCCTTCTTTCTACAGGTTATCTTAAGGGGTTTTCCATTGTTTTAATTTTAGTTTTAGTATAACATTATAACACCATGCATATTTTTACTTTTTTATTATTTAAGAAGAACCCAATCTGATGTATTTTTGACATTTGAGGCTTAATGCTATAGAAAAGCAATACAAGTTTTTCAGTTAGTGTTTTCAACTGGTTTATTTTAATCTATGCAATTGCTTCAAACAATGGTAAACATCATTCAATGTAAATTGTGATAACAGGAATTAATAATTACAATTACAATTTCAAGGGAATAATCAACGAATTATGATTTTAGTCATAATCGCTCAGTCTTGAATACCAATCTTTACTGAGATTACTAGACTTGCTCATGCTTAAGAATGCAGCAGTAGCCTACTCATGATCTAATAATTCTGTCACAAGATATTTGCCTACATGTGGGATTAGACCAGCTGAAGTTTCTCTCCAGATATTTCAGCAGCTCACAGAAGGCTATTGGAGATGGCGTCTGAGAAAAAGGACGCTGGTGAGATTTTGAAGGAACAGGTAATGTTTCATAGTCCTCCTGCTGATATCTCAGATTTTCTTTTTTTTAAGTAATTGTCTTTCACTTTTTTAAATGAATACATTTGTTCGGTATGTCTATGTCCACATTAGCTGTATAGGTTATTTAAGTATCATTACTAATACCAATTCGCAAAGTATGACTAGGGTTTGGATTAAAACCTGAGGTAGAAAGCTAAAAAAGGAACTTTATTGTTCAGTGTTGTGACAAGTTTTTCTTTACAGAATGTGTTTCATCGAATCTGCAATCTTCAATCTGTTAGTGCTGCTCTCGAATCCATTAGCAGCAAAGCCCGCGCTGACTGACGCGCTCTTTACAAATTCAAATGTTGCCGCTTCAAACGACAGGTTTTACGGCAGGATTATCGAACGCTCCTTGGCTCTCGCCTGTATTCGTCCCAGATTGCGACATGCCGTGTTTCTGGTGAGGTGTGTTTGAATGATGCGCGCGTGCCTTCAGGAGTTCACGGAGTGGATCGGGAAAATTATCTGGATAATATTTTCACAACAGAAAAACAGAAATTCTGCTCTGGATCACACAAACCTACTGTATTCCGCCAGAGAGGACTGCGGGTGCAACGTATGGATTACTTT